AATTTGCCTCCCAACTTTTGATGGGCTAAGATAGGCCCCGAAGGACCAACACCAAGTCTCCCGCTTGGAAGGTCCCAGGTCGCACTAGCTTATCATGGGCTTGAACCATACTGGACTTATACAACTCTAAACTTTGTTGAGCTTGGAGCTGTCGCTCTTCAAGGCCTTCGAGTTCTTCCAACCGCAGTTTTACATTTTGTCATTTGTAATCTGATTGTAAACTGCAATCCTGAGCGAAGGGATTTGTATTTCTAAGGGTAGAATGGCCTCAGATCCATACACTAGTGCAAACGGGGTGGATTGGGTCGGGGTTCTATAAGTGGTACGATAAGCCCATAAAGCTTCCACCAACTGCTCATCCCACTGTCGTTTGTTATCATCAAGGGTTTTTTTTAACAATTTGCACCAAGGTTTTGTTGGAGGCCTCGGCTAATCCATTTGCCCGAGGGTAATAGATCATCGAGTATCTCCAATCAATATTATGGCATCTCACAAAACTGTTGATTTTTGTAGACTTGAATGTGGACCCATTATCGGATATAATTTTACGGGGTACGCCGAATCGATATACGATATGGTCACGAAAGAATTTTAAGACATGGTGTGATGTTACGTTGCATAGGGGAATTGCTTTCGCCCACTTTGAAAAGTAATTAGTCGCTGCTAATATGAAACGATGACCTCTCCCGGAGGGAGGGTCAACCGGCCCAATGATATCTTTGCCCCAACTCTCGAAGGGCCACGAGGCTATCGTAGGGTGTAACACATTAGGCGGCTGATGTAAAACCACACCATGGACCTGACATTGATGACAGTTCTTTGCAGTATTTATGCAATCGTCAATCATTATAGGCCAGTAGTATCCAAGTCTTTTAATTTTCAATTTCGTTTTTGGACCCGATTGATGTGTACCGCATAGTCCTGAATAAACCTCATTAACAATCTTTAGGGCTTCTCGCTGGTCCAAACAGCGCAGCCACATGTGATCGAAGGACCGACGGTATAACAAATTGTTGACTAGTGCGTATGATAGGGCACATTTCTTAATCTGGTTGGAGAGTGATTTATCCTGGGGAAGCTTCCTTTCTTTAAGATAGTCGATTAAGGGTCGTCTCCAATCGCCTTCTTCGTCGGTTGTCGAAGAGGCAGAAAGGATCTTAAGGGGAGTCTTACTAATGTGTTCCAAATCTGTAAGAGAGAGGGCTTTATGACCCTGGATCTCTATAGGGATGGAATCTTCCTCAAGACATGCAAATTCCTTTGCAAGTTTTGCTAAGGCATCCGCTGCGGAATTACTTCCATGGGGAACCATATACAAAGTGGCAGTAGGAATTTGTTCCAACAAGTGAAGTGTATACTGGTGGTATCTTAGGAGACTAGGATTCAAGACTTTATAAGTTCCGGCCACTTAGTTAATCACCAACTGGGAATCTCCAAAGATCTTAATCTCTTTAATTTCCATTAGAATTTCAAGTTCCAAATCGGTTATCAGAGCTTCGTATTCAGCTTCGTTATTTGTGCAGGGCTCCGATAAATGGTAAGAAAAATGCATCATTCCTTTTTCTGGCGTTATAAAAATTAGACCAACTCCAGCCTTTCCAAGAATTATAGATTGTTGGGTCGCATTCCTACGGGAGGATGCTGCTCGATGAAAATACAATTCCCAGACGGCCTCGTCAGACTCCCTCAAACTCATGATTTGTTCGTCGGGTAGATCATCGTTCAGAGGAGAATCAACCGGCAGCGAGTGTGCTGCTAGAAAATTGGCGACGGCTTGTCCTTTCACAGCACGAAGGGGAGTGAAAGTAATCTCAAATTGTAGTAATATCACAAACTAACGGGCTAAACGTCCTGAAAACGTAGGTCGGGTCATAAGATATTGCAAAGGATGAACTCTTGAAATCAAAGTGATTGAGTGGGAGAGCATGTAGTGCCTCAGTTTCTGAGCTACAAAAACTCAAGCAAGACAATGCTTCTCAATTGATGGGTATCAAATTTCAGTAGGAAGAAGTCTTCAACTAAGGTAATATAGAGCATTCTCCTTCCCTTCGTCGTTGACTTAAGCCAACAGGGCGCCTAAAGACTCGTCTAAGGCTGCAGTGCAGAGAATTAATGGCCTTCCCGGAATTGGGGCTTCCAAAACTGGTGGGTTAGAAAGGTATTGTTTAATGTTATCGAAAGCATTTTTGCACTTCTCATCCCATACGAATTAGTGTCTTTTTTCGCAAGGACAGAAAAGGGTTGACATCTCCCGAAAAGATTTGAAATAAACCTCCTTATATACGCCAATCTACCTTGTAGAGACCGTAACTGGGTAAGGCTTTTAGGAGATGGCATATCTAAGATGGATTCGATTTTAACATGGTCGATCTCGATTCTGCGGTGCCTCACTACGAATCCTAAGAATTTCCCTGAGGTGACGCCGAAGGCACACTTCAAGGGGTTCATTTTTAAATCGTAGCGGTGCAACCACTCAAATACAACTCTTAAGTCATACAGGTGAGCCTGTTTGACCTTGCTCTTGACAACTAAATCGTCAATATAGCACCCAAATTGATTATGAATTAAGTCATCAAAGATACGGGTCATGGCCCGTTGGTAGGTTACCC